GGCCTCCCACAGTGCTGGGATTACAGGCGTGAGCCACCGTGCCCGGCCGATCTCTGTATTTTATACAGGTCTGTATATCTTTTATGACTTAATGTAGATTTATAGTAAATAATAAAATGTTGTAGTGTATGTCCTCTAACATGTTTATTTTTCAACTTTTGATTATTCTAAAACTTTGCATTTCCACATAAATTTTAGTATCAGCCTATCTGTTTTTTTTTTGTTTTTTGTTTTTTGTTTTTTGTTTTTTGTTTTTTGTTTTTTTGCAATGGAGTCTTGCTCTGTCACCCAGATTGGAGTGTAGTGGTGCAACCTCAGCTCACTGCAACCTCCACCTTCCAGTTCAAGTAATTCTCCTGCCTCAGCCTCCTGAGTAGCTGGAATTACAGGTGGCTGCCACCACAAGGCTAATTTTTTTTTTTTTTTCTTTTTAGTAGAGTCAGGGTTTTATCATGTTGACCAGGCTGGTCTCGAACTCCTGACCTCAAGTGATCTGCCCGCCTCAGCCTCCCAAAGTGCTGGGATTACAGGTGTGAGCCACTGTGCCTGACCCTGTCTGTTGGGATTTTAATTAGGATTCCACTGAATCTGTGGAGTAATTTGGGAGGAAATTGACATTTTTAACAATATTGAATCTTCTGATCCATAAATTATATCTCACTAATTATTTAGATCTCCTTTAATTTCTCTCAGCAATGTTTTATTGTAGAGGTCAGCTCATATTTTGTTAAATTTATCCAGTGGTGTACTGGTGGACCAGCTCTTTGGGGAGAGGGTGGTTAGCCCTAATTTGTGCTATTTGCCAATTTCTGTGATGTAGATACACCATGATCACTTTCAGGCTATCAACGTAATGTGATGAATGAGTTTAGAAGAGATGACAATAAATTGTATGAGCCAGTTCCAACACACATTGGATATGTTCCTAAATATTTTACGGTTTTGGGTCCTATTTTAAATACCTAGTATTGTAAGTGTTATGTTTTGAGTGATTGGCTTTTACTGTCTTTTCTTTTTTTGAGACAGAGTTTTGCTCTGTTGCCCAGGCTGGAGTACATTGGCACAACCACAGCTCACTGCAGCCTCAACATTCTGGGCTGATCCTCCACCCTCAGCCTCCTAAGTAGCTGAGACTATAGGCATGTGCCACCATACCAGGCTAATTTTTGATTTTTTGTTTTTGTAGATATCAGTTCTCACTATGTTGCCCAGGCTGGTACTATCTTCCTTTAAAGAGTAGAAAACTTTGTTTTGTTAGGCACTTACATTACTTGCAGAACAAGTTGATCCTCTTGAGTCTCTTTAAAACTTTGTTTTGGACGGGCATGGTGGCTCACACCTTACATATGGGTAAGACACAGAGTTCTTGCATGTCCCCCAGTGTCAACTCTAAGCAGGACGGGTGCAAGAAGTCAGTGGAACCCTTCTGAGGGTCTGAGATCTACGAGTAGGCAGCAGCCAGCAAGGGCCAAGGCTGTGGCAAAGAGGAGCAGATGCACATCATGGGGGTAAAAGGCTGACCACTTATGTGTCTCCCAATGCCAGCCCCAAGTAGGACAGGACAGTAGGTTGGGAGGGCCCTCCAACCTGTCTCAGAACTATGAGCCAGTGGCAGTGAGCGAAGGCACAGGTGGTAGCAGAGAGGGGCAAAAGCACCCATGCATAACACACTGACCTCTTGGTGACCGAGAGTGCCAACCCCAAGCAGAACCAGTGCAGGAGGTCAGTGGAACCCTACTGCATATGTGAGATCAACAAGCAGATGGCAGCAAGAGAGGGTGCTGGCGGCAGTGGAGGGGAGTACAGTCACCCCATGGGTAGCAGGCTGAGCTCTCATGTGTCCAAGTGCTGGTTCCAAGCAGGGCTGGTGCGGAAAGTTGACGGAGTCCTACTAAGGGTCTGAGATCTCCGAGCAAGCTGCAATGAGCAAACACGCAGATGGCAGAGAAAAGGAGCAGAAGCACCCCATTGGCAAGACACTGACCTCTTGAGTGTCCCCCAGGGCTGGCCCCAAGCAGTGTTGCTGCAGGAGCTCAGAGAAGCCCTACTGCGAGTTTGAGATCTACAAGCAGGCTGTAGAGAGCAAACATGCAGATGGTAGAGGTGAGGAGAGAAGGAGCCCCATAGGTATCAGGCTGACCTCTTGCATGTCCCCTAATGCCAGCCCCAAACGGGTTGGCCCAGGAGGTCTGTGGAGTCTCACTGTGGTTCTGAAATCTACTAGTAGGCAAAAGCAAAAGATAGCACAGGTAGCAACAGAGAGGAGTGGAGGCACACCTTAGGTAAAACATTGACCTCTTGCGTGTCCCCCATTGCCAGCCCCAAGCAGGACAGGTGCAGGAGGTCAGCAGGGCCCTACTGTGGGTCTGAGATCTATGAGCAGGCAGCAGCCAGTGAGGGCTCAGGCAGTAGTGAGGATGAGCAGCAGCACACCATGGGTAACAGGCTGACCCCTTGTGTGTCTTATGCCAGCCCCAAGCAGGACAAGCACAAGAGGTCGGCAGGGCCCTACCATGGGTCAGATCTACCAGCAGGCAGAAATGAAGAATGGCGCAGGTGGCAGTGGAAAGGAACAAAGGCACCCCAAAGGTAACGTGCTGACCTCTTCCATGTCCTTCAATGCGAGGCCCAAGCAGTACCAGTGTAGGAGGTGGGCAGAATCCTACTGCAAGGCTGAGACCTAGGAGCAGACAGCAGCAGCAAACATGCAGATGGCAGGAGAAGTGGAGGCGCCCTGTGGATCACAGGCTGACTTCTCATGTCCTAGAGTGCCAGCCCCAACCAGACCCATGCAAGACTGGCAGGAACACTACTCTGAGGCTGCATTCTTCAAGCAGCCTGCAGGAGGCATACAAGCAGATGGCAGAGGAGAGGAGTGGAGGCGCCCCATGGGTCACAGGCTAACCTCTTGCATGTCCCGGAGTTCCAGTTCCCAGCAATGTCAGTGCAGGAAATCGATGGAATTCTACTGTGGGTCTGAGATCTCCGAGCAGGCTGCAGAGATCAAACATGTAGATGGTAGAAGAGAGGAACAGAGCTGTTCCGTGGGTAACAGGCTGGCCTCTTGCATGTCCCAAAGTGCCAGCCCTGAGTGGGGTTGGCACAGGAGGTTGGTGGACTACTGCAGATCTAAGATCAAGGAGCAGGCAGCAGCAAGCAAGGGCACAGACAGCAGCAGAGAGGAGCAAAGATGCCCCATGGGTAACACTCTGATTTCTTGCATGTCCCCCAGTGCCAGCCCCAAACTGGACAAGCACAGGAAGTCAGTGGAGCCCTCCTGTGAGTTTCAGATGTATAAGCAGGTGGCAGCGAGTGAAGGTGTAGGTGTTGGTGGAGAGAAACAAAGGCACCCCTTGGGTAATGCATTGGCCTCTTGCATGTTCCCTAATACCAGCCACAAGCAGAGTTGGTGCCGGAGGTCAGTGGAACTCTACCTCAGATCTGAGAACTACAAGCAGGCTGTAGTGAGAAAACATGCAGATGGCAGAGGAGAGGGGCAGAAGTGCCTCATGAGTAACACACTGATCACTTCTGTGTTTCACAATGCCAGCCATGAATGGTGCTGGCACATGAGGTCTACTGGGGGTCTGAGATTTATGAGGAACAGGAGGCAATGATCAAAGGTGCGATGGGAGTAGATAGGACTGGAAGCACCCTCTGGGGGAACATGCTGACTTCTTGTATGTTCCTCAATCCCAACCCCAAGTAGGGCTGGCACAGGAGGTTTGTGGAGCCCTCTTGTGGGTCTGAGATCTATAAGCATGCAGCAGTGAGTGAAGGTGCAGGCCACAGTGGAGAGAAGTGCAGGTGCCACATGGGTAACATGTTGACCTCTTGCATGTCCCATGCCGCCAGCCCCCAACAGGGCTGGTGCGGAAGGCCAGTGGAGCCCTATTGTGAGTTTGAGATCTATGAGCATGCAGCATTGAACAAAGGCACAGGCAGTGGTGAAGAGGAGTGGAGATGCCCCATTGGTAACATGCTGAACTCTTGCATCTTCCCCAATGCCAGCCATGTGTGGGGTTGCTGCACAGGGCTGGTGAAGCCCGATTGTAGGGCTGAGATCTATGAGCAGGTGGCAGCAAGCAAAAGTGCAGGCAGTGGCAGAGAAGAGTGGAAGCTGGTCTGGCAAGATCAGTGGAGCCCTACCACAGGTCTGAGATCTGCAAGCAGGCAGCAGTGAGCAAAGGAATATATGGCAGTAGAGAAGAGCAGAAGTGCACCATGGGGACCATGCTGACCTATTGTGTGTCACCCAATGCTAGAACCAAACTAGGTGGGATCGGGGGGCAGTGGGGTCCTACTTCAGGTCTGAGGTCTGTGAGCAGGCAGCAGCAAGCCACGGTGCACAGGGTGGTGAAGAGGAGCAGAACCACTCCATGCAAAGCATGCTGACTTGTGTGTCCCCCAGTGCCAGCTCCAAGCTGGTCTGCCAAAGGACATCAGTCTGAGCCCTACAATTTATCATTCTATGAGACTTTTTCAAAGCTTTTTTCATATCTTCTTTGCCTTTTCTTAATGAGAACTCAAGTACTCCAACTTCTGAGTACCCATCCCATTCTCCTTGTCTATCCAGATGGTGCCTAAGTGAAGGAGCCAGGTAAGAGTCTGAGTGTTCCCTTTCTCTGATGTTTTAAGGTAGCTGATACTTGGGAAAATTTAGACCGAAATGTTTGGAGATTTCTTGCTTAAATTCAGAATAGAGGTTGGCATATGGAGTTTTTAATAGGTTGTTTTAAGTCACCTCAACAGAAATGGCTTTATTCCTTCCAACTATAATTTGAACACTGAAGGGAAGAAAATTGGAGAGATGCTTAAAATGATTATGAATGGTATAAAATGTTACTGCCAAGGCTGCAGAATAGTTGGTGGTTTTTTAAACCCAAAGCTTACCCACAGTCTTCTGATTGCTTTAAGATTTCCTCTTGGCCGGGCACGGTGGCTCAAGCCTGTAATCCCAGCACTTTGGGAGGCCGAGACGGGTGGATCACGAGGTCAGGAGATCGAGACCATCCTGGCTTAAAAAAAACAAACAAACAAACAAACAAAAACCCCAAAAAATTAGCCGGGCGAGGTGGCGGGTGCCTGTAGTCCCAGCTACGCAGGAGGCTGAGGCAGGAGAATGGCGTAAACCCGGGAGGCGGAGCTTGCAGTAAGCTGAGATCCGGCCACTGCACTCCAGCCTGGGCGACAGATAGAGACTCCGTCTCAAAAAAAAAAAAAAAAAAAAAAGATTTCCTCTTTAACCCAAATATATCTTCAGATCTACTCTGGTAACTTACTGACTTCATTTTCCTGCTTGTTCTAAAAGTGGTGGGGGTGGTTCATGGTAAAAACATTTCGAAAGAGATTGAACATAAATTCAGAGTTACATTTGTGATGTAAAGGTTTGGGAGTTTAAAATGCCAGACACTGCCTGTTCAAGTGTTTGTTTACATAGCTCCCTCCTCATGTCAACAGAATTACATTCAAAGATGAGTGTGTTGGAGTTCAAACTCCAATCTCTGATAGGGATGGAAACGGGGGAGATGAAAGAAAATGTTTAATATTTTACCATCAGACTTTGAGGAAAAGAATGAATTTAAGTAGAAATAGTTTTGAGTAACAACAGGGTTCTTGAATAAAAACCAAGTTCTTTGAAATAGAAAACGTTGTATCATGAAGATATTTAAATCTGGTTGTTTTATTTGTTTTAATAAATGCCAGATATTTCATTAGTATAGAGAAAATGTCTTATAGCTCTTCTATTTCAACTTTGGTTGTGCTTTTAATTTCTTTAAAAGTTAGAACACTTAGGCTGAGCATGGTGGCTCACACCTGTAATCCCTACACTTTCGGAGGCCAAGGCAGGTGGATGAACTGAGGTCAGGAGTTCGAGACCAGCCTGACCAACATGATGAAACCCCATCACTAGTAAAAAAATACAAAAAATTATCTGGGCATGGTGGTGCACACCTGTAATCCCAGCTACTCAGGAGACTGAGGCAGGAGAATCGCTTGAACCTGGGAGGTGGAGGTTGCAGTAAGCTGAGATCACGCGACTGCACTCCAAACTGGGCAACAAGAGCAAAACTCTGTCTCAAAAAAAAAAAAAATTTAGAATAATTAAAGCTCATGATGTACGTGCCTTTATAACTGGGCAGTACTGTATTCAATTTTCAGAATATTCAATAATAATGAATGAATAGATTGTGTTAATAGATTATAACTTTATGCACAAAGCATGGAAGTACTTGTGAATATTTATGCTCTGTTTGGTGGTGTAAGGTAAGCCTCAGTGATTTTAGACACCAGTTGGTAGATGGGTAGTGTTGGATGAGATCCCATAGGCTCTTCATGTCTTTTTTCAGTATGTACAACACATTTTAACGTCCATCTTATTTGGCCCTTCCAAACACAAATAAGACCTGTGTATATTCTCCCTACATTGATGATGAACAAAGACTTTGAGATCTGAAATGACTATGTAAGACAGCTACCGAACAGAACTAAGGTTCTATGGTAAGTACCCTGAAACTGACATGGAGATGGTAGTGATGCCTAATTCCGTTCCTAAACTTTAAAACTGTGGAATACATTGTATGTTTTACCCATAGAGTAAACTTATCTCTTAGAACTTACTCCACCCTTGATTAGTTCAATTAAAAGTTTGTTTTATACAACTCAGAGGCAACATTTACCTGTCCATTTTTTTTTTGTAAAGGAAAAGGGGTCTTACTGTGTTGCCCATACTGGCCTCAGTCTTCTGGCCAGAGCTCAAGTGATCCTCCTACCTCAGCCTCCTGAGTAGCTGGAATTACTGATGTATTCCATCTTGCCTGGCTCCATCATATGTCTATACATTAATTTCAACAGATACAGATAAAAGTAGAGGTAATAAAATTACCTAAATTTACCAATCAAGCAGGTTAATAATTTTTAAAGAGTTTTCTCTTGTCACTGTAAATTGAAACTGAGAATTCCCTGGACAAGAGAAGCTGGAAACAGGAGAGGTAAGGTATCATACATTAAGCATAGAACAATCATAAGAAGTGTTAAATCAGAAAAGTTAAAAAAATAATTTGTGAGCACGGAATTTACCATTTTATGTTTATTTGCATGACACTTAAATTTTCATTTCAATTTGCCTCTTGAAATTTATTTTTCTGGCACTCAATAAAGTGGTAAGCGAAACCTCAATTTCAGGATTTGCCTACAATTCTTAAGTTTCCATAGAAACGCAGTCAGGACATTAACAGTTTACTGTTAATATCTTTATTTTGGACAATTTTATATCAGTTTATTTGGAAACTGAGAAATTCCTACTTAGATGTAAAACATTTTAGTTTTACTACAATGAAGAATAGAATTATTTTGGTGACTTAGAAAAAAGTCAGATGTAATTAGTGTACTTTGTTCTGAATCATTTCAGAATAATGTTATTTCTCCAAGCCACTACACAGAGATATTCCTAAGAACCCAGTATAGATTTCAGAGAGTCCCACAAACATTTTTCTACTACCTTGCCTTTATTTAAACAGTTACATGGTTTGGCTCTGTGTCCCCAGCCAAATCTCACGTTGGATTGTATAATTCCCAGTGTTGGGGGAGGGATCTGGTAGGAGGTAATTGGATTGTGGGGGCAGATTCCCCCTTTGCTGTTCTCACGATGGTGAGTTCCTATATCTGATGCTTTAAAAGTGTGCAACACTTCTCCCCTTTGTTGTCTGTCTCCTGCTTTACCATTGTAAAACATGCTTGCTTTCCCTTGGCCTTCCACCATAATTGTAAGTTTCCTGAGGCTACTGAGCCATGCTTCCTGTGCAGCCTGTGGAACTGTGAGTCAATTAAACTTCTTTTCTTTGTAAATCACCCAGTCTCAGGTAGTTCTTTACAGCAGTGTGAGAAAGAACTAATACAGAAAATTGATACCAGAGAAGGGAGGCATTGCTATAAAAATACTTGAAAATGTGGAAGCAGTTTTGGAACTGTGTAACAGAGGTTGGAACAGTTTGGAGGGCTCAGAAGAAGGCAGAAATATGAGGGAAGATTTAGAACTTCGTAGAGACTTGTTCAATGGCTTTGACCACAATACTGATAGTGATATGGACAGTGAAGTCCAAGCCGAGCTGGTCTCAGATGGAGATGAGGAACTTATTGGGAACTGGAGTAAAGGTCACTCTTACTGTGCTTTAGCAAAAAGACTGGTGGCTTTGTGCCCCTGTTCCAGAGATCTGTGGAACTTTGAATTTGAGAGAGATGATTTAGGGTGTCTGGTGGAAGAAATTTCTTTTATTTTTATTATTATTCTTATTATTATACTTTAAGTTCTAGGGTACGTGTGCATAATGTGCAGGTTTGTTACATATGTATACTTGTGCCATGTTGGTGTGCTGCACCCATCAACTCGTCAGCACCCATCA